GCCTGGGCACGGCACCGCAGCACCACCAGCGTTTCCACGACAGCGCGAAGCCGAAGGGTCGGCGTGGCCCCTGGCGTCAGGGTGTGACCGCCAGCAAGAACGGGTTTTGCACTGGAGGTCTCAGTGGGAAGGCAAGTCAACTTTCCTCACCAGAAGGAGTGTAACGGCATCTCTACTATAAACAGAGTAGTATTTTGTGTACAGGTTTCGGGAGCAGTCGTTATCAAAATACAGACACTGAATATACGCTCTGTCCCATGGCCACGATTTATTATCTCACCACAAGGCACAATACACAAAGCTTAGAGGGCCCTATACAGTCATCGTGACAAAACGCCCCGCAGCCTTTGCACATGATCATGGCCTTCAGGCTGCACGAGCACTGGAACGCCATCTCGTCGACGCCACTGCCGTCGGCAAACATCTGCACAGAAAGCGACGCGCTACGGCTTGCAGCGAAGTTCGCTTTGTGGCTTAGCTGCATCACGCTTCCAGCAAGGCTTCTGGGAAAAGCTGGAGTGTTGGATGAATAATTAAAGCTGGTGGAATTCAGCTGCAGCTTAGAAAGCTTCCCATAAAATGCTTGCTTGATATTGAGCTGGGAGGGTATGGAAGAAGGCTCCAGCGGGTGACTCTGTCCTTTCCCCGCTTCCCTTGAAAGCTTGAAAAATGGCAAGTCCATGACGAGCGGAACACTTCGGAAATGCTCCGTCAGCTCCCCGGGGCTCCGTGCCGCGTCCTTCCGGTTCTCCGCGTCGCTCTCGGCGGGGCTGCCCACTCGTCCCTGGCCGCGGGCAGCCCCTCTCCCGCCGCCCGGCTCTTGTCCAGAGGAGTCTGCGTGCTGGGGGACAAGGCTCCCACCGCCGGGACTTGGTCCAAAGCCCTGGAGTGATGCAGTCTGACGCCGGGGCTGCAAGGAAAACCAGAACCAAAGAGTTTCTTGCCTTGAACTCCAACATAATTTTTATTGACCGATGTACCCCCTGTCTGATTCGGACCAAGAGAAGTCACAGCTGGAGATAAAAACCGAGGCTCCGTAGAGGCGTTCAACTTCTCCGGACTTTTCGTGGTGATGACACTTGTCAACGGGCTGTGCTGTGGCACCCGATGGACCTTGGGCATCTCCCTCTGCTCCTCAAAGCTACAGGAAGAAAATGTTCTTTCCCGAGGGCCCGTATCGTCAGGCTTCCCAGAGGCACTTGCCACGTGCGCCGGTTGGTCTTGGCAGCTTAAAGCCGAGCCAGCTTTGGGATGTGTCTCTGGAATAGACTGATCCTCCGCATCCTCTGCTCCAGGCAGCGCCGCCCCCGACCTGCACTTCTCCTGGGGATCGACGGACGATCTCATCGGGTGGAAGTCATCACTCCTGCTCAGGGCACTCGTCTTCATTCCTACATCTGGAGAAGATTCTCTGCCAAAACAGCAACCGCTACCTCCCTCCATCTGCGGGGAGAGGCTTTCTGACTGCTGGTCAGGCAGCAGCTGTGTAAGTTCCAGCTTGATGGTGGTGTGAGATACTGGGAGAACGTCTTCCAGGGGAAGGTTCCCCTTCAGCAGCTGCATCACCAAAGGGTTGTTGGTCTCCACAGAGGAGAGAGGCCGAGCAGAGCCTGTCGGCCGCTCGCCCTTCTGTGGCAACGGTGCACGTGCTGCTCCCCATCTCTGGGGCGGAGGCGCAGGGCTCGTCGCTGCGACAGCAGGGAAGTCCACAACACAGGCCAGGCTGGCTGTTTCCACAGAGGGTTCTGATCTAACCCCACCACGTCTCTCGGTGCTGCTGGGAGAGGAGGAGTCTTTCCCAGCCCCCTCCCTGCAGCCGACACTTCTGAAACACATACCCATCTCCGCGTTCTCATCAGCTCCGTCCCCTTCACAATCTGAAGCCGTGTCTGTCGTTTCACTGTATGTGCTCTGTCTTTCGTCGTCTCCGTTTGGCTTCAGCTCCTGAGGCTCTCTCAGGGGCTGATGGGCGTTTTCTGCTCCTGTTCCGGGGCACCTCTCCCTCAGCTGCAGAAGTCTCTCAGAGGTATCTATCCTATTCTCAGAAACAAAGTCGTCGTCTAGGGAAGGCTTCACCGGAGACTCTGCACTCTGCTCTTCACGACTCGGCCTGCCATCGCTCTCCTTCTCTGCCTGCGGGTGTGGAAGGGGACACAGCTCAGGGCCTGCCTTCTCCACTCCAGCAGTCGCTGCTCTGGAGTTACCACTATCAGCAGCACGTTTTTCCACAAACGTTTCAGAGCCATTAAATCTAAATCTAGACACCATTTCTGACTCATGGCACTCTTTACCGCCTGATGACAAGTCTGGTAGAAGAGCAGGACAACTGGAGGAGTTTTCCTTCCCGACTGAAGGATGATCCACCTGTACAGCGGGAGCTCGAACATCTCTGAGCTCTGACACCACCTCACCTGCTGCCGAAGGACTGGTCACAGCTCCCTGCACCTGAGAACGAGACAGACCGTTTACTGGAGGAACCACGCACTTCAGCTGCTTGCTTTGCCTCTCCTGTGATGCAAGACAAGATGGTGTTTCGGTCCTTGGGTCACAAAGGAGCTGCTCAGGGCTCTCCTCCTGCCTCTCAGAAGTGGCATTGTCTAAGGGTGATCCAGTCGAAGCACCACAGGACTGCCTTCCAGGTGAACCATCACCAGGCTGAGCCTCCCCGGAGCTAGGGCCTGCCGTGCGTTCCAGATCACTGCTTCCCTCGCTCTTGGAGGAAAAGGGGTCTTGCTCTGAAGAGAGGAAGGAATTCCTGTTCGCCTCCTGAGCAGCCACCTCAGAGCTTGCCTTTTCTCCATTCAGATGGAGAGACGACAGTAATTGTGCTCGTTGTAGATCTGACGAACGCTTTCCACGAGTTCTCTTTGCTCTCCTGCGCCCTGCGTGGCTGCTGGATTCTCCTCCGCCACCTCCTTCGTCGGTGCTTCTCCCTCCGCCCGGGCCACCCCCACCGCCGATGGCGGGCGTGGGC